TATATAATTACATTCTTTATAATATTGATTAATTATTAATGTATCAATATTTTTTACTAGAATTTTTTGAAGATAATCATATGATTATCTGTACTACACCTGAACAATTATCTGAATGGACAAAGTGTGAACACTTTCAAATAGATCTTTCTTTCAAACGTGTTGCAGGTGAAATTAACGAATTTGAGGTTAATTATTATAATTCTCAACATAATCTAAATATGATTTATTTTGCTTATTACAAAATTTATTAGTATAAAAAAATCTAATAATATTAGTTTTTATATTTTAGTTTTTATAAATTGTAGTTTTAAATGCTAACTAACTTGATAATTTATATTTTTAGTTCTTACTTTTGTCCATATATTTACTAATCCTGCAATAACAGTTGCATATCAGAGGATTTTTCATGCTTTGTTTGATTTAATACTTCAATTAACGGGTTCAGAACCTCAATTTAAGCATATTCATAAAAAAGGTTGGGACTGTGTTATTGCAGATCTGGATTATGCGTAAGCACAAGGTCTAGGATTAGTTTTAAATGAAATAGAAAAAACAAGAAATTGGGAAGAACATTTAGTTCATTTTTTTAAATCCTGAAAAGTACATTATAAAAGTAAGTAAATAAAATTGATGTTTTTAATTTAATAAAATAATTTAATGAATTTTATTTTTATATTTTAATAATAGGAAAATCAGAGAAAAACCATATAACGATACTGTAAAAAATAATATGTATGCAATTCTAACAGCTGAATCAGAGGATACAATCAATCATTTATTTGATAATATTCAAAAAATTGATAAAAATACTGCTGGTTAGTAGCAAATTTTTTAGTTTATTTAATAAAAATTTTTTTTTATAAATTATTTATTCTTATATTTATTAGATTGGATTTCTTTTTATCGTCAAAAGTGGGTTATCGCATCACTTAATAAGTGTATGTCAAAGATTGACAATAACATTTGGTTAACATCTCCCGATAATACTAATACTGCTGAGGCTGCCCATGCCTTAAGCAACCATCGTGGAAAAAATCTCAAACTAGTAATAGCTATTTTACAGTATGTATTAATGCAATATATTAAAAATTTTTAATTTTTTATGTAAATTCTAAATTTATTAATTTATTAATATGCATTGAGGAAAAAAATTAGATAGAGAAAGATTCAATGCAATTCGTGTTCATCAAAAATACAATATACCTACTCGGGGACGGAATTGCTCGTAACATTCTATCTAATAAATGTCAAGGTAAATTAGGATATTATGAAAATACGTAGTACTGATGTTATTTTTATGTTATATTTATATTTATATTAATAATTTAAATATTTATTATTTATACAGCTAATGCACAGGCGAAATCAACTTTTATGAAACGTAAATTACGATCTACTAGTAAGAAAGGATCTAAAAAAGGGGATGTAAATAACTCTGATACTGAAGACGAAATTCCTATTAGTCATAAACAAAGTGCAAAGAAAAAGCCTAGAAAAAGCATTGTAGTTAATTCTGATACTGAAAATGACGATAAGGAGAATGAGTTAACTTCAAGAATTAGTGAACTTGAATATAAAGAACGGGTTCTGGCTTTAAAAGAGCGCGAAATTGATCTAAGAGAACGAGAGGCTAAAGTCTATTTAATGGAATTATCAAATTTTGAGAAGGAGCGTGAGTTAGAATTTGTTAAATCTTAAAAAATCAAATTTGATTAATATTCATTCGTTAAATGCTATAAACATCTGAAAGAAAATTTAATAAATAAAGCGTTTATGAAATATAAATTATAGTTACAATATAAAAAATTAAATTATCATATAAGACAATTCTAAGTTAGTAATAGATTTACGCATTTATTTGCTTCACAATATGTAGATCTTAGTACTTTTTATTTTTTTCTTTGTAAAAGAATTTATATATTTCAGTACGAATTTTAGCATTATATAAAAAAAAATTTTTCAATTAATTTTAAAGTTTCGCGTTATAATACTAAAAAGCAATTGTGTATTAAATAAAAAATATACACTATAATAATATACACCACACAGTTTGAATGTTTAATATATATATTATTAATATTTGAACTGTGTGTGTTGTATATCATACACCTTTTATTTTTATGTTATACACTACACAGTTGGTCGACCCTACACCACAAGTTTCCGTCTTACCGATGAAATTGATAGGCGTATATGACGATCTTCTATAGGAATTCATACACAAGATCAACTTTGGGACGCGGTACAGAAAGTATGGGTTGAAATGGATATAGAGTTTCTTAACAAATTATTGAAAGTATGCCAGAGCGTATTAATGATGTAATAAGTGAAAAAAGTGGTTATACTAGGTGGTGAGTTTAAAATTAAAAAAATAATTGCTAGTTTAGGTTAGATTTTTTTTGTCTAATTATTCATTTAAGATCGGGTGTCAGAAATTATCAAAAGTAACGCATCGCGATAATTTGATTAAATTTTGATTTATTCAATTTTTATATTAATAAATTGAAATAAAAATTTACTTTTTACATTGTTATGATATAATAAATTAAATGAATTGTAAATTTTTATTTTTTTATCACGTGTATACAAAGTAATTAAATTTTAAAATTTGCCAATTGGGGTGATGCATAACATTTGGGAGCCACTGTATAATGTAGTTTAACTTTTTCATGAGTTTTGAAGATTTTTAATAAGGTTTTAATATAATTTGCTAAATTATAATTTTAACTATTTAAACAACTTACAAATCTCCAGATTTTGTCTAGCAACTTTAATTCTATTTTATTTAATTTTTATATTTATATGTATAAAAATAATTAAGCGGCGAAAGCCTCTTTAATTTTCATAAAAATCAATTAAAAATAATTTTAAAATTAAATTACTTACTATTATTTATCGGTTAATACAGTAATTTCAATTTATAACAATATTCGTTGAGTCATGCAGGGTCTTCCCAGAAATTAAATGAATTGATATTTCAGCTTACAATAATTATGAAGAATCGCTTTGTAAAT